CCCCCCCCCCCCCCCTTGTCATATTAAATGAACTTTCCCTTAAATTCAAACAAAGCTTACACATTTACGTTTCTTTTGGGTCAATGCGGTTTTCCTGCTTGCAGCAGTCACCAAATCGAACGTAGACCGTTACCGACATTACAAAACAATACTTACAGTAAGTAACGATAGTTTCAGCAAATTTTACGAAGAAACGCGCAACAACAACGAAGTCAATGGAAAATCAATTTAAAAAAATCAATCGCTTCAATCTAAATATTCTTATAATTCGACATATATGTCGAGTCTACTATCCAGGGCTGGTCTTCTCCCAATTTGTATTATTTTTCGTGCCTGTTATATTCCCAGATTGGCGAAGTCAGTGCCAAGTTTCTTAAGTGTAAGGAAAACATGTCTGCTTGTATCTGTGCCATCTGTAAACATTTTACCAGTGTGGACAAGAAACCGTGTCATTGTGAAAAATGTGGAATTTGCCGGTAAGTCAACCATTCAGGCGCTTTTACCCGCGGAGACTGAGAGACTAATCTGGACAATTGAGAGCTGTAGTGTTTTAAATTGCTCGAAAGATACAGAACCTAAATGCTGTCTCTGACACATTATAGAGGAGTTTTTTTGCATATTTTTTTCACACACTGCAATAAAAGCGATGCATGGCTAAAAATACTCAATATTTCGTATTCTGTCTCAACACCCGTAATGAAGAGACAAACTTTTTAACAGTACCTCCCTATCTTTAAAGCAAGACGGAGTTTTTATTCTTTTGTTAGTCATCAAGGTACTTGTTTAGTGAAATGGCAAAAAGAATGTCTTAAACAACAGGATATAATACCCCTGCAAAGTGACCTAAAGTGAAACTGTTCCAGTGTAAAGAGAAGGAAGTCGAAGCAAACATCTATAGCCCTTGTGTGTTTACAATACGTCAGACACCAAATTACGTACACCACCAATTCTTGTTTTGGGATTGTAAACTTACGAGATTTCTCAACAAGAAATTCCTGGAGCATTTAAGGTGAAAGAAGCACTCAAGCGCAGTTAGCACAAGTCCAAAGAATTTTGTCCGCAAATGAGACTTAGTGATGGGAAGACTGGCGTCAAAATGGGTATGGGCAGATGATGGCACGCTCCTTAGCTCTCTCTTCCTTTTCATAAAAAAAGGCATATTTCTTTAATGAAATTTGAAAAAATCAACTTCTAAATTCTTCAGCTGTTTATTGTGAAACAAATTTGGAAGGGTATAAGTAGTCAATCCGCTTTATTCAGAAGGTCTTAGAGGAGAGTTGTCGACTATTTTTTCCCGAGTCGCCAGCGTCAAGAGAGAACAGTGTCATGTCATTCTCGAATTTGACTTTTTTTTTCTTTTTCTTTTTTTTGGCTTTAAAAGAACAAACAGAGACCGCCTGTCTGTATCACTTGAACGACACTCGCAAAACCCAGGTTACCAAAGGTTTCGGGGTCAGCAGTTACAGCGGTCTGGTATGGAAAATCCGGAGGATGGTCTGGCTGACTGGTTTGTTATCAAACACACCAGAGATGAAGCGCTGTCGCGCGATTTGCTTTCTAAATACGGTTTTAAGGCTGCCGATACAACGCAGGTAGGAATTATGTAAATAACTGAAATTTAACACTGAAATCAATCGGACAATATATTCTACACGGAGGTCCAATGAAACTGAGGAGAATGAGAAGAGCCATTTTCTCCTTGAGACCCGCAGTTTAAGGCTTCTCGCGTTCACTGAATTGTACAAAACGCCACAGGTTATGGTACTTCCCTCTCACCGTCTAAATTCTTTAGCCAGTTCTAGCATGTTCCAGGCGTTCAGTTCAGTGTAGCGTTGCGCGAATTAGTCAGGGAGAACAAAAAAATGAGGAGGAGTAATACTTCCTCCAACCATCCCCGGGTTAGGGCTGAGTCTAGAAAATCCCCTTTAGCCGAAAATTAAGTAGTTTCGAAGTACAGTTTTTCTTAACTTTAAATCCAAAAGACGTGTTCCAAATGTTCCCCTTCTTCTTTTTTGCAGAATGATTTGCATCCCATAGGATTGCGCTCTTCAAAGTGAGTAAAAAAAAAAAAAAGAAAAAGACAAAAAAACAACAGTGGCATCGTCCTCTAGTAATAGATAAAAACTGTTTAAAGGATTATTCTAAATATTTCACCTTTTTTAGAGCTTGTTAAATTTTATGCAACATTCTCAAATACGCCTAAAAAAACAAGTTTCATTTTTCGTAAAGTGAACGAAAGAACATCAGTTTCTCTACCACTCAGCTGGATTCAAGTTGTATTAGAACGGTCTTACGACTATTCTGTGAACTCGTTTTTGCAGTCATTCAAACACACACGCCAGTTCTTTTGATTATAAAATTTTCTTTGTCATGTAAAGAAATCTGAAGTCACGAAGTTTCGACCTGCTCTAGGTAAACAGTCACAAATACCTAGGACCCTAAAATATGATTATTAATAATATCAACGATAAGTGATGAAATCACTAATTTTTTTAAACATTTTGCTGGTTAAATCCTCGCTCTGGTCTCTGATTACTTGTTGATATTCAGTATAGCCCATAAAATCTGATTAGCACGGTTAGGGGTAGAAGGTCATCTTCCAGTGGAAAAAAAAATGGGAATTTTGTGCTGGCGCGCTGCGCAGAATTTCTGCGTGACTAAAAACCAATAATTAGCAAATGATTGTCACCTTTCTAGCTTTCAAGCTTAATAGCGACGTATTCAATATTCATACTCCTAGCTTATTTCCCCCAAAATCGAGGGAAACGGAAATCAGCTTAACATGTTTAGCACCAAAAAACTATGGAAAGTAACAATCCTCTGGCTGGGGATGGAAAACGAGTTTTGCTCTACAAAACGAGACTCCACCTTATTACAAATCTTCTCTATTTTGTGTTATTTCTGTTTCAGATTCATCTGCTCATTTTTTTGCCGAATTCCTGCATTGTAGTGTGGGCTTTGTCTCCAACCTTGGGACACCCCATCGAAAGACCCACGGCTGAAGACTGTACCTACGTCAAGAGGTGCTCTGTACGACTGTGTTTCTTGATTTAAAACTGTTTTCTTTTCCACTGCATCATAAAATGAAGTCGAGGAGGAACCAGAGGAGCCAATCAGAATATACCGATTTAAACGATTTCTTGGAATATCGAAATACACTCGGAACTTCTTTTTTAGCCCGGGGGAGGGACTCCCTATATGAAAGTGGTGGGGATGCTCGTCGTCTCGCTTAGGGGTGTAGAGTTCGGATTTTGGTCTCACTTAGGGTATTTTGGGCAAAACGCCATCATATTTAGCCGTGAAGGTCTCGTTTAGGGTTGCACGCGAAAAAATATAAAAATATAACCTATAACGTGGTCTCTTTTAGGGAAAAAAAAGGGCTTGGGCCACGCCCAGATAGGTCTCCTTTAGGGGTTTAATTCAACATTTCCGATGAGTCCCCCCCGGGTTTTTTGGTATAAATCTCTAGTCACCTCGTCAGATGTGTAATTTAATGACAGAGGAAATTTTTAATTGCAGAGTTTTAATAGGTAAAACAAATAGTTCTTACTAAGTAAAAAACAAAACGGTTGTAAATAGTGTTGAAACTCAACTGCAAAGTGTACACAGGGGAGTCTTATTTTGCAAAATTCATTGCGAAATTTTTGGAAAGGTATTATGAGTTCACGAGGATATGTTGTTGTTATGTTCTCTTCCTTAAACTTAAAATTGGGGACAGAAACCTGTTTTACTGAAAAACCACCACACAACAAATAATTCATAGTTAATTCGTTTGGCTATGGATTAAGCTCCTAAAGAAGGCAGAACAAAAGGCTTCACAGTTTAGTATAGATTTCTGTTTCCAAATTTTTTTTTGTTGCCAACGAAGCGCTACCCACCTCGAACATTGAAATTTCTACCTGTGTGATGTACACAAGCAATTTTACAACTGTACAGTATTACTCGTTTTACTAGTTTTCTCCCATAACTTCACTTTAGGGATCGTTTCTTACAGGTTGCGTTTTCGAACTCTCTTTATTTAAAACCTCATTATATCCTTGAAGAGAGTAAAACTCGATTTCCCGTGGGTTTATCTCGTTTTCGCTTGCTGCGGGCACGGAAGACATGCAGCATCATGGTGAATCACCCAAACAACTTCCTCGCACGTTTACTGAATCCGAGCATCAGTCTGGCCAGTCGTACTGGAGCAAGACAGAAGGCATTGAGCGCAACGAAAGTAACCTTTTACCTTGTCAAAACTAACCACTAACAAACAGACATGAACTAAGAATAATCTTCATTATACCTTTATAAACAACCGCATATGTCCTTTTGTTTAGTGTAAGTCTACGCTTCTCACGTGTCCTCCTCCTACAGAGTACAGATGCGCGCGAATGAAACACCATCAATTCAAGGTCCATTAGACCCTGCTGCCTGGCCTTGCAGTTTGTTAGCAAAAGACGCTGGAAGGTTGGGTAGAGACTCAGGAGAATATAAACACTTACCCCGTCTCCTTCCAGATTATTCAATCTTGTCTCACTTACATTCCGGTCTCTTTGGGAACCAGTTCTTTCCGGCTAAGGTATATTGATTGATGAAAGATTGTGTGTACGCGTTGGGGACCATTTACTTTCAATTAGCGTAGGCCGAACAAGGAAAGCAACGACTTTAGCTACAATCCTGGACAAAGCTACTTGAGAAAATGTTTTCATTAATGTGCACTACCTAACGCAACAAAACTATTTCCAAATCAACGGCTTTGCGTAAAGAAAACCCCCTCCCCCAGTTCAAAGTTGCTCCCTACAAATGCTTAGGGATCCGGCTTTCTTTTGAAGACCCAACAACACTGCTTCCAGGGGGAGGGGGGGAGGAAAGAATCTGTCGGCTACGAAGTTTAGAAAAAATGCCCCCAAAGAATGCAATTTTCTCAACAGTTTTGTCCAAGATTGTATCTCAGGTGATTCGCGTTTTTTAGCAAGAATATTAACATGGACAAAACAGAAACCTACCAATAAATGGCACTTTACAGAAGCTGTTTTGAGCACAAAGTTTCACGGCACACCATCTTCTCATAGAAAAGTACGACCTCATATATGTTTTTTTGCTGCACCCTCTTAAAACAGTAAGATTAATTTTGCAGTAGCCATAGAACGCGTGCTCATTGTTACATGTTTTCGAGTTGTTCAAACCTGGCCGGCTTGGAAAGTGTGGAAAGTGATTTATTTATAGTTTTCAGAAGAGTGAGAACAAGACTTGGATGACGGTTTTCTTAGAAGAAAAGAAGTTCGTTGTGTTTATTTAGTGACGTATAGTGAAGCCAATATGGAAACGTATCCCGTCGCCTGGAAACTGCTTCTCAGATCTTAAAATTGGCCAAACTATGAGGGTTACAGAAACCTCGTTTGCTGCAAGTCGGTTAACTTTTTATGATAAGGGACTGTGCAATAATTATCAGGAGGAGGGGGGGGGGCTGAAAAACTAGAGTTATCTAGCAAAAACTTAGACAGTACCCCCCCCCCGGTCCAACACAAAAAAATTAGTTCTAAGAGGGTCCCAATGGGGTGGTGGCTTTTACGGTTATCGGCTAAAATTTTGGCTCTTTTACGGCTATCGGTTAATTTTTTCTAGTTACGGTTAACGAAAAAGTTAACAATTAACTTCTTTTGTTTCAAAAAGTTTAATATTAATTAACCCGTATTTTTTGTACTTTAAATCAAAATAAAGGTCTTCGGATCATCTCGGGATGAAATAAGCTATTCTTTTGAAAAATTTTAACATTTTATATATCAAAAGGTTGAATACTTTTTATAAAGTATTCCACTTCTAATACATTATTTTACACATAGAAATGTCAATAGTCAATTTAAAAATAATCTTCGTGAAAAAGCAAAAGCAGACACGCAAACGCCCAACTCAAGGCCGGGGCGCGACATTCATTACAACAGAAATGGCCGTTTTCACACTAGGGAAGGATTATTCGTGTGAGACGGGTTATCCGTTTGTTGATTCGCGTCAGATAGGTAATACGTCTTAATCTGAAAATGAAATAGTTTTAATTTTGAATGAACAATCCGCCTGACTTTTGAAGACGGGATTATCCGCTCCAGTTAGCCTGTGTACAGCCGCCCCCTCCCCCGCAGAAAAATCGGAGAAGGGGTGTCTGTGGGGAGGGCGCGACTGTACACAGGCTAGTCTCAGACGGATGATCAATTTCTAGCTCTAGTGTGTGCCTAGGTCTTGGTTAACACCTAAAAGGCGCTTTGCCTAAGTGCGTACGGAGTCACACTAGCCGGGAAGTAAAAAACGCAACCATAAGTAAGTTTAGCACCTTCCTTAAAAGTAGCAAATCAAGGTAACAATTTCTTTTACGGTNCCCCCCCCCCCCTCCCGCCACACTGGTAAACTCAAAACTGAACTGAACTGAGCTGCCAGTAACATCTAGTATCGAGAAGGATGTTGATCGCTTGATTGATGAAGATTTAGACAAAGCAGTTTTCTAAGTACCGGGGAGCTTACCACATTGGCTCAAAATCTAAAATTTTTGAAGCCAGAAAGAGAAAGGAGCAGAGAAAAAAATTAAAGGACAGGAGATTGAACGCTTCAAATAACAGACGAAAAAGAGCTTGCATTATATTTAGATCCTTGGGAGGGGAGGCTGTTGAACTTTGTTATGAGCCACATATATATGGAATTCAGCAAATCGATTCTGTCGATGAAGAAACATTACTTTTATCCACATAAAAAACCGACAAAGCTTGTCTACGAGATCTGTTTGATTCCCATTGTTTTATGGGGGAAGCTGAAAAACAAGTTCATGATTTTTGCTTTACATGCAAAAATGATGCAAAGGATCAGCTCAATTAATTAGAAGACGGATTAAAATTGATCAGTTGTGAATTTGCTTTTCATTTTGATGGAATATTTTCAATAATCGTTTAACAGCTGTTCGTGTTGATATTTGTTACAGTCTATCATGATGCCTGTATTGAGAATCTTTTATTGCGTTTCATTTTATTTACATTTCAAATAAAACTTAAGGCCCCCCCTCCGTCAAATGAGTGATTTTACTTTGAGCCCCCCCCCTATCTTGGCAGCAATTTTATGTAATGCCCCCCCTCTCTGGCTTTTCAGGCCCCCCTCCTGATAATTATTGCATAGTCCCTAATTCCATGGATAGAATAATGGTAGTCTTTACACTAGAGCCTGAATAAGCTAAGAAATATTTCAAGACAAGTAAATTTTAATTACTTCAAGTAAAATAACGCTTCACACACAACCGATTCTTTTTTACTTCACGTGATTTTCCCACGCAACAAAATAAGATTGATTGACATGCCTCGCCTCTCTCAAAGCTCAAGAAACCGCAAAACCGCATATCAGCTAAGTCGGTCATAAGGATGGTTTTCGAGTCGCTTGAGACTTTCTTGAACTTTTCGACTTTAGTGAGATGCAGAGCAAAGTTACTTCAGATTTTACTTAGGCCTTCACACGAATTTTTGGTTAAGCAAGACTTAGCGGCTGTTAACTCTTACTTAACAGCCTAGTGTAAAGACAACCAATGTTACGATTAACAAAGCATTGAAACGGTTAACACCATTTCGTTTTTAAAAGTAAATGACCTTCTGATTCTTATGAAACGTCGTTGTTAATCATTGTTAACCGTTGCTTATCTTGGTAGCACCTTAAAAATGTCTTGTTAATCGTTCCGAATCTTAGATATTGTCGAGAGAAAGAGATTAGAAGACAACTCTGGCAATTTTTACTATCTCTTGCCTTACAAATGATGAATTTATCTCATAATTTCTTCCAGTCCGAATGTAGCTATAAATAGCCCGAGGGCACATGACATGTACTCTTACAGGTCACACGACAGTACATCTTGTCACGTTACTGGGCGTGTCATTACTAGATTTCAAAGTGTGATTTTTTGCACTGGACATCGCTACAATGTCAAATGTAAGCTTTCAAATTTGGAAAGTAAAATACAAGTTTTGTAAATATTTCATCCTCTCTCCATTTGA